TTATTTTAATATAAAAATAAAAATTATTTCTTATTAAAATTATAAATTTTTATATAGAGAGAAAATTTTAATTTTCATTATGTTTTATTAGTAAATTTAGCTTCTGAGTCATTACTTTTGGTTGCCACTGTAAATTAATTAGAAATATAAATAAAATATTCTTAATTTTAATATATTATATATTATAATAATTAAAAAAATTAGATTATATATAATTAATCTTTAAATTTATGATTATAAAAGATTAAATTTTATTATAATCTTATCATATATAACTAATAATATAAGTTATTACTAATAATAATCTTTAAATTTAAGAATATTTTTCATCTTAAATTTCTATCTGATATAATTATTTAAGTAAATAAAAAAGATTAGATAAATATTATTTTAAATTAAATATATTTAAATTAATAATAAATTAATATTAATTAATTCTTATTTATTTTTGATTATAAATATATTTTATAATTATTTAATTAATTCTATAAAATATTAATTTATAAAAAAAATATAAATATTATTATAATTTTTAGAAGATTAATATTAAGATTATTATTACTTGATATTTATATTAATAAATCTTTTAAATTAAAGATATAATAATAATTAAAATAATGCAATGCTTAAATTTTTTATTAATTATAATTAGTAAAATACATAATTTTTTTTATATATAAAAGTTTTTAATTTTACTAACAAATATTTTTATTTTTAACTTAAAAAATAGCTAAAGTTCTCTAGTTTAATATATATTTTTTTTAGAATTTTCAGATTTTTTACTGATAACTTGTTCTGATTATATATAAAGTCAATTAATTTTTATTAATTAATAATTAGTAAAAATTAATTGACTTTATATGTAATTAAAATAAGTTATCAGTAAAAAATTCAAAAATTCTGAAAAAAATATATGTTAAACTAGAGAACTTTAATTATTTTTTGAGCTAAAAATAAAAAATATTTATTAGTAAAATTAAAAACTTTTATATATATGAAAAAATATATATTTTATTAATTATATATAATTAATAAAAAATTTGAGCATTATATTATTTTTAATTGTTATTATATATAATAAAGTTAATAAATTATATTAAAATTAATAAATAAATATTAATAATATATTAAAATTTATACTATTTATAATAATTAAATAATTTTAGAAATTAAAAAATTAATACTAATATTATTTTTAATTAAATGAATAAATTAATAATTAAATATAATATTTAATTAATTAAAATAATAATAAAAATAATATTAATAATTATATTTATTAAAAAGAGTTAAATTAAATAAGATTTATAAATAAAAATACTTTTAAAAAAATAATTGAATAAAGAATAATAATAATATTTATAAATCTATTAAAAAAATATATAATAATATATACTCTTAATTATTTTTGATTAAAATTAATAAAATATATAATAAGCTTATAATAAATAAGATTATAATACTTTTACTAGTTAGATAAGTAATTGTAATCACAAAATATGAGAAATAAGAATATAAGAAGATAACTTCTACTAGTTAAATAAGTTAAAATTAAATATAAAATATATCATAATAAAAGTAAGATATATTAAAAATATTAGTTAATTTCTTAAATTTTTATTAATTTTTATCTGTAAATTTTATTAATTATAAGTTTATTTTCTTATTAACTTTGTAATAATTTTAATTAAATTATATTCTTTTTAGTTTAAATCTTTATTTTGTATTATTTATTATATTTATTAGTTTATATTACTTTTTATAAAAATTAATTTTATTTTGAATATACAGATAATTATTATTATATATTATCTAATTATTAATTTAGATATCTCTTATTTTTAATTAATACTTTTTTTATAATTTTATTTATTCTTCTTTTATTATTATTATTTATATTATATTAATTATATATTATTGGATTAAGTATAATTAACTCAAAAATTTTGATATAAAATAATTAAACTTATATATAGTTTAGAATTAATAATTTATTTATATTTTATACTCATTTTATTTTATATAAATAAGTTATTTTATTCTGTACTTTAGATTTCAGATCTGAATACTATTCAAATAATAAAATTATAAATATTTATAAATTGAAACTATTCACTTTACATTTTGTCTTGTTTATAATAAATTTACAAACTTGATCTATTAATTATAACAATTTTTTTATAATAATTTAAATTATATTAATCTATTCTACTAATGTACACACAACTCTATGTTCTCAATATCTCGAGTTACAAAGTCATTATCTGTTTGAGAACTCAGTTGACAAAGGATTTCTTCCCACTTATTAACTTTCTCTTTCCGGATCTCAACACACTTCCTCCAGAATTCTTTGTCAATATCACTTGACATTTTTTAATTCTGTCTCTGCCTTCCTGAGTTGATCCTTACTTCGATATTCGCACCTCTATTGGACATGGATCACATGATGGACTGTACTTTAACCTCTCCATATTAGGAGATTTGGTAATTGATTACACTTAAACATCATCACGTGATATAGGAAATTTTCCGTCAGAACTAATTTACTAGGTTTGTGACCAGTTGGCCCAGTATTTTCATTCTTGTACATTATCTACAGTTTCTTTTTTCCACAATGCCAAAACACGAATTCTTAACCCCAAAAGCAATTGCCAATAGAATAAAGGTAAATGAATTCATCAATTTATTCATGAACAAGAATGCTCTTGATGGTGCTAGTTCAACTATCTACTGTCTTCTTTTCTTAGGCTAAAGGTCTACAGAAGCTTAAATGGTACTGCCAACTTTGCGAAAAACAATGCCGAGACGAGAATGGATATCAATGTCACATTCGTTCCGAGTCTCATCTTCGTCAAATGAGTCTTTTACGTGAAAATCCAGATAAGTATCAAAGCACTTATTCTAAGGAATTTTTGACCGATTTTATAAAATTATTGTCAAGAAGGTAAAAAAAAGCATATCAAACATCATTAAAATATTTTTTCTTAATTTTGTGCGCTTTGATTCACAGTTTCTCAATTGTATATTCTTTCTGATGATTTAAATATAGATGGGGTACGAAACGAGTTCTCGCCAATACCGTCTACCAAGAATACATTTCAGACCGACATCATTTGCATATGAATGCGACTGAATGGGTCACGCTTACTGATTTCGTGAAGTATCTTGGAAGAAAAGGTATTTGCAATGTAGATGAAACTCCTAAAGGATGGTTTATCGCTTGGGTCGACAATAGTCCTAAAGCTTTGGCACGACAGGAGGCCATATTGAAAAAGGAACGTCAAGAAAAAGACGAGTCGGAACGTGCTCGAAAAATCATCGAAGAGCAAATTGAAAAAGCAAAAAGAGACGCCGAATCTACAGATTTGTCATCTGAAAAACGTGAATTAGAATTACTTAAACGAAAAACAGATAAAAATATCCTCAAAGTGGAAATAAAGTCTCTAGAGGATCCTAATAATTCACAAACAATAGATGATAACACAATCGCAGATGTTACTGCTACGAACTCGATTGAAACCGAGTCCTCGAATGATTCATCATGTACCTCCTCTTTAACTATTAACGGACTCTCGGCTGATTCTACTGCAATAAAACCTTCTGATTCAACTTCCTCAACAGCAGTTTCTGCGAATAATACAACTCCCAACATCACTTCCACTACCTCAATATCCTTTAAACCAATTGGACAGAAAAAATCTCTCGCAGCATTAGCCAAAAAGTCGAATATTTTGGCCGCTTCGCCAAAGAAAGAAAAGAAAGAGGCACCTAAAAAACTATCGGCAATCGAACAAATTATAATAGAAGAAACAGAGAAGAAAAAGAGATTAGAAAATATTAATCATAAAGTAACGGGTGATAGGAATCGGGGTAAAGATGATCGCAAAGATTTTTATAGATCTGACAGAGATAGAGATAGTAGGGATATTCATAGAGAAAGAGATTATTACAGAAATCGAGATCCTTATCGGGAATCCAAAGATAGAGAATATCGTGAGCGTGACAGAGATCGAGATTACGAGCGAGAAACAAAACGTGCACGTAGGGATTAAAATCCCTACAAGTCAAGATGGAAGATGGAAATTTAATAGTTACATCTGTCTGTCGATGATTCTTTGGAAATTATAATCTCAAATGTATGGGTCCTCAAACATAATAAGTAAGCTCGTAAAATCAATAATTTTGTTCATTATCTTCTACTGTATATAGAACAAAAAGATTCAATTGACAAAGATCATAGAAATTAATTAATCATTGACTTGATCTCGTGCTCATCATTTATTATAGTCATATTTCTTTTCTTATCATACGTTGCAATCAAGCAATTATAGATTGATGCAGTAAATAAATTCATTTTCGCGTGAATATCTTATGAAACAATGATGGTTGTTTTTTGTATAAAATTTTTAGTATTGAAATAAGTCCTTCGTGCAATTTTTTACGTCTTCTACAAGACACGAAAAGCAACGCCATGTGCCTGGTTTATTGGACGAAATCATCTATATTAATTAAATACAAAGCCCGCCTTTAACTTTAGCCCTTTGATTTTTTAGCAGTATTTCGTTATTCGGTTCCATCGCATATTTTTTAAACGGGTCGGGCGTTTTACCTTTTTTTTCGGTTACCCGCTGCTGGAAGGATTTAATCTGTAAAAGGGATTCATTTAGTTAGTCATCCCGTAAAATTATCCCGAAAGTCGGGACAGGTGAAATTGTTCATGAATGAGTAGAATCTGCTACCCAACAGGATACCACACGACTTGGAAGATTTTATTTCTATTGGTTGTAAGACTTGCAACTCATTGGTTTATTGCGATTCATTGGTTAATGCGATTGATTGAGATTAAGTATCATCAATAGAGATAATTAATGTTATTTTAAATAAGTCTCATTCGAACCCACGCATACATGGCATGCATATTTTATTCTCAATAATGACGATCTGTGTAACTGTTCATTACATCTTGAAAATGACATTTTGGTGTATAATGAATGATAATAGCGATAAATAGTATTAATCACTATTTCTTATTTCATTGAAGCAACTCGCGATTATTGTATATTGTAGATGCACACATAATAGAATTTACTTATTAAATCGAATTGACTTGAATTGAATCCCAATCGCTATACCGTGTTCAAGAACACTGTTAAATTCACACGCACAAGTAATGCTTATTTCTATTACATAACTGGTTCGTACAGCATTCGCATGACACATATACTTCTAATTGTAAATTTTTTTTATTACATACAGTATTATGATCTTTATCAAAAAAATAATTAATTCAAAAACTTAAAATGAACTAGCGTCTTGGATGTAGGCTTCCCCCAAGGATTGAAGCAGGCTGATCAAGATATTATTGTCGATTCCAATCATGTCCGATCCAACTAAACATTGACGCTTTGATGATGCGAAAAAAGCATCATGCATCGCTTTACGTTTCTTTTTAAAAGAAAGATGAAAAGTTTACTAACTAGTGTAATAATTTGATAATACATCTATAAATAATAATTATGACACTCACTCTTTGTCTTTCTGCTTGCTCAACTTTATATTTCAAATATTGATCGGAATGATGTGGTTTGGGTAGGGGTACAACATCCAATGGTGGAGCAGAGAACCAAATGATCTTTCCATCTTTATCATGATCGAATTGGCTCGCTAGCAATTAAAAATTTATAATTTAATTTAGTCTGCTGCAAAGATCTAAAAATGAACATAGGTTTACTACACCTGTTTGAAATGGGAGTGTTCCTGGTTGTGGTGGAACTGGGGGTAATTGAGATTGTGTCGATGAATTCGATGATCTTTGGGATACATTATCAGAGTCGGCTCTTTTGATTTGTAACAAAGATGACGAGGACGACGACGAAGATGAAGATGATGACATTGAGGGATTGTTGTTGCTGACAATGACCTTATTAGATTTTGTTGCACCTGCTTCTAAAGCAAGCGGACTTGGTACTTTTTTGATTATTTTCATTTCAGGATATAAATCCAATTCTGGTCTTCCAACGCGTGCTCCCTCGGGAATTAATTTATCCCAGAATTTAATTTTCGAGTAATACTTTCCTACTTCACGATATCTTGACTCGCAAAGATACACATTTTTCCCTTCACTGTCTTTAGGACGTCCTCTTTGATAATCTTTTGGTTGTAATACAAAGCATTTAGCAATAACATCATTGATTGAATAGTCGTGGAAAGTGTTGGTTTTAAAAACTTCATTTTCCCAAAATAGTCGATTTGCCTGATGAACGGTCTGTTCAGGATGATAAAACCAACACACATGAATCCCTTCCTTCCCTTTGGAATCTCTCCACATTCGATAAATATGTCCAATATTAGGTTTCGCGCTATCCAATTTATTAACTAATTCCACAAAATCACCAATTTGATATTTTTCGTCTTTGTATATCGTTTCTTCAATGGCTTCAAGATCTTCACCGCCATTCGATTTTACGCCGGTGAGTTTCTGGGCTAATTTTTGTAATTGTACGGCATCTTGATATATTTGAGAGCCTTCAGCATTATACGTTTTTGCATTTTCGAACATTAAATTAAAATCTGCGTAAAAGGTTTTCAAGTCAGGATATTCATTTGCATTTATCTTGGATTCAATGTTATCTAACGCGATTGGCTGGTGAATTTCTTCATAATAATCAGGATATTCTCCCTTATCAGGAAGCGCTTCGAAGAGCAACGTCATTTGTCTGCCTTTGGAATCCTTATTATTTTTGATAGAGTACCATATTTTCCTTAATTCTTTCTGAAATTCCGTGTCATTCTCATGACTTGATTCTTCATCTTCGCTTTTGGGATCGACTTTTTCGGCTGTTGCTTTGCTCTTCTTGTTCTTGTCGATCAAGAAGACACGAGCACCTTGCGCATCGGTCATCTCTGTGTGTTTATCATAATTCAATTCTTCTTCTTCTTCTTCGCCATCTTCTCCGTAGCTTGACGCTATTCCTTTGTCCTTCCGACTAGATTTTTCAAACGTCTTTCTCGACCTTCTTTGGATTGAGGCAGAAGCGATTTGTGAATCAATGTCTGACGCAAGATTCTCATATGAGGTTCCATCATTTGTTTCCTCGTTTTTAGTCAAAGAACTCTTCTTATCGTCTTCCTCTGATGAAGATGTTTCAGTAAGATAATTCTTGGATTTTATTATTAATCGAGCACCTTTTTTAATTGGAGAAAAATTTTTCTTTCGTTTTTTCTTTGGTTCTTCATCATCAAAGATCGAAACCTCTTGCTCTTCCCGTTTTATCTGCTCCTCTTCTTTTATATCATCGACTTCAGTACCTGGTTTGGTTTTGCTTCTAGTGGTCCTTTTGGCCTTTGATGCACGCTTTTCTTGATTATCAATCGCAATCTCTTGCCGTTTTCGTTTTGATTTTTTAGTTACAAGTTGGATTGTAGTGGGCTTCTTTTCATTATCGATTGTATCACTGTTACTTGTTCCTGGTTCGGGAGTTTGTTTTGAGCTTCTAGTAGCTCTTGATACGACTGTTAACCTCATCTTTAGAGGTTTGTTTGTTTCTGCTGTCGTTGTTGTCGTCGGTGGTGGTGACGGTGATGGTGGTATTGGAGGTAGTGGTGGTTGCTGCTGTTGTAATACCTCGCTTGATTCATTCACCTCATCATCAGTTATTTCTGGAGATTCTTTTTGAGCTGCAGTTTCGGTCGAATTGACCTTTACGCTTAAAGTTTTTTTCGTACTTCTTGAACGTTTATGTTGCATTTCACCTTTAATTTCTGTATGTGCTTCACTGTTAATACAATTCGACTTTGTTGTTCAGAATTGCGATCGACAAATTCTAGTCGTACAGATTTACCGTACGTGCATACGTACGTATGTCGTGAATTTAAAGTCGTCATAAATACCATAGAACCGGATTAATTCCTGGATGTTGATCTCCCAATCACATGTCGGTCAAACATGCGTGTTGAAGGTATTGGACAATTCCCTTTCTACTTTCAATCCACCTAACTTGGTAATTAATAGTAAAGCAGAATTTATGGATAACCGTAACTGGAATGGATTAATGAACAATAAACTGTCATACAGATTTATGCATTGTTAACCCCTCACCTATTTTATTTTATAGTATTATTTATACAAATCCTATCGAGAGAGAGAGAGAGAGGACAGCATTCTATCTTTCTTAATTTCTATTAGAATATATTATAATAATTTATTATATTTTCCTAATAAAAAATTTATTTATTTATTTATTTGTAATTTAAGTTTAATTTAAAAATTTTTCTTTCCAAACATATATAAACTTGCAACGAACTTTTTTTTCGTTTCCTTTCTTTGCCCCTTCTGTGCCCAAACGTAAGTTTTTTCTGGTTTACAGCTTCATGATTCACAACCATTCCGTATCATTTAATTAATCAATTTTCTGCCATTATCTCGATTTCACTTACATTAATTAATACGATAAATTTATCATAATAGCATAAAAAAAGTTGCGAGTAACTTTTACGTGTGCGCTTTGCGTTTATATTCTTTTTTATGCTTAATTTTAAGTTCGTTCGTTTCTTTTTTGTTCTGATTCATTAGAATAACTACAATTGATTAATTTTATCGATCCATTCGATTGAATCTCTTTACATATAACGAAAATGAAGGTAATTGTAATGGTTTAGATTAAAAGTATCGGTATCGATCTAATTTTTGATTAATAAACTTGATCGATCATTCATTATATACCTTTTTCTAGTTTGGAAAACAACTTTTGAATCAGCAAATAACAGAATGGGCCTCTCACTACATCAACTACAAGGGTATGAAAAAAATCATAAACAGTTTAAAAAGCACAGAGGCCGCGACTAACGTCAATACTAGCAATACCAACACCCATCACCGCAATCATATCAATGGCAATGGCGATAGCAATCGAAGATCACTGACCTCCTCGACAATGATCACGCTCGGCCCTCGATATCTTATGAAAGCTATTCATGCTGAAAACAACAATCACACTAATTCGGGGATTCCATTTGATGAGAACCAAACGTTCCTGCAACAACAAAAAACCTCATTTTTCTTTAAACTTGAACGCGAGCTAGAAAAAGTAGGACATCATTCCACCCACAATTACCTGTTGATGTTCAAGTTCCTCCTTTTTGCTTATTATTGTGTGCGATACCTCGCGCGTATATAATTTTTTTACTCGTTCATGCTTGCGATCACATGTCTTATTCATCAGGTCAACTCTTTCTACCTACAAAAAGAGGCAGAATTCAGAGTTAGATTACGAACCTTGATTGACAAAAAGAAGATTTTACTAGCACGCAAACGAAGATTGTCTGCCGGATCGGCGTCTCTAACGGCTCTGAAGGAAGGATTTCAACAATTTCAGCAAGATCTAAACAAACTACAGGTATGTCAATCACGCTTTTGATACTTTGTTACCCATCAGCTTTTCTCAATTCGATCAATAATAAATTAGCAATTCATTGAAATCAACGCGACTGGATTTCGCAAAATTCTGAAAAAATGGGATAAACGGTCGAAATCAAGCACCAAAGAACTCTATCTCTCACGTCAAGTCGAAATTCAACCATGCTTTAATAGAGACATTATCACCGAGCTAGCTGATAATGCTCGTGATAATTTGTTAGAGCTGGAGGATATCGCGAGTGGATTATCGAATAGCTCACCATCATCGCCATATTCACCTGAACGAAAATTATCGATCGGCGGAGAATCCCAAACCTCCGACGTGATGGACGATCTCGAAACAGAATTATTCAAAGCTATAACGACGGGTTCGATCTCATCAGTTCAAGAAATTCTCGAAAGGATCCGAGATCATCCAACTGGTGAGAATCGTGATCAGATCTCGCGTGTCTTTTGGCGAGCTTGCTCCGAAGGATCCACAGAATCAATACAACTATTAGCGGAAACGAATCTTATTAATTACAAGTATATGGATGACATTAGCGATAGAACATGTTTACACGAAGCAGCCATCGTTGGTAGAACTGCACTCGCCAAACTATGTGTTGAGCATGAAGTAAACGTCAATTGCACTGATGTCTATGGTAGACAACCATTACATTATGTCTGCATGTATGGACATAACGAAGCGGCTACTTATCTTTTGTCCGTGAATGCTAAAATCGAAAATATTGATCACGATGGATTTAGTCCATTAATTTACGCGATTACAAATGGTCATACTAGATGTGTGGAACTTTTAATTGATAACGGTGCACATATTGAACCACAAAAAGAAGGTGATCATATTCCTTTATCGCTGGCGTGCCAATACGGGCATAAGGACATTGCCCTGTTGTTACTTAAGAAAGGAGCCAAAATTACTGCAAATATCGAAGGTCTTTACCCTTTACATTTAACTTCACGCGAAGGTCATCATGAACTGTCGAAAATCCTGACAGAACATGGAGCTCTGTTAGACACGGTCGACAAATATAATGGATGGTCTCCTATCTTCTATGCCGCTAGCGAAGGTCACATCCAATGCGTCAAAGTGCTGTTGGATGCAAAATGCGAGGTGAATATTAAAGATGAGTCGGGGCGTACACCAATTTACTACGCTGCATGGGAAGGTCATATCGAATGCATCAATTTGTTAAATTCTGCTGGAGGACGTGTAAATGTTGCAGAAACTCAAAATGGTCATCAATCAAATGGTCATCAACAAAATGGTCACCAACCAAATGGTCACCAACCAAATGGTCACCAACCAAATGGTCACCAGCAAAATGGCCATCAACGTAATGGACATCAAAATGGACTGTTTGATGATCGAGAAAAATTTGATGCGAATACAATACCACTCCCGCCACTTTCACTTCCACCACCTATTATACCTGTACGAATTTATGGTCATAATTATTTGGATAAAAAATATCATGTTCAAGTCACACTTGGACATAATTCCGCTAAATCATTGAAACCACCCGTTCATCTTTATGGAAATAGTCAAATATCTTCATTGAAACTTATAGTCTCTTCAAAACCAGACATGGGAATGATTCCGCACAGTGTTATTCTACCATTGGGCGATGATAGAGAAGTGTTCTCCTTTCAATTAGACACACTCGAGAACTTCACATTGGAGTTCGATATTTTTCCTACCTTTGGATCACGTGTTATTGGCAGAGGAGTAGTTTTACCGTACGTGTTTAGTCCTAGCGATGGACAAGATCGTGATTTAATGACTGGAGGGACAGGGAGAAGATGTATTTGTCCTTTATTTAATACACATTTGAAAGTGGTCGGCGAGGTTTCCTTTGAGTTTGAGGTCGTAAAGCCATTCCAAAGTGTACAACTTGAAATTGGAGGTCGAGTTGAAACTTATTGGAAATCTACAAATCCAATCACCCTTTTTAACTCTCGTCTCGAACTACCACTGGTTGCAAACGGATTTACACATTCATTCATCACTGCCTCATCCCTCTCCGATGAATACATTCAAATTGTGGTTCAAGTCACGAGAGATATGATCGCGGTAGTATATTCAGATTGGATGCTTCCCGTGGATGAGTTTGATCTGAGTGTATCTGATGTAACCTATAAACAATTCAAAACAATGGGTGAAAGAATTTTGAACGGCAATAAAGAATCTGTCGATTTTAAAAAGGAAAAAAACAAAGCTAAGTTGCATAAAATGGTTCATAGGGCTTATCTATCGTTGGAAGAAGTTTTAGAGGTGATTGTTTAATATAATCGAGATATCTTCAGTATTTTTTAATGTAATTTAAGGCAGGACTGATGATCTCCATTTTGACCAAGTAGCATTTACCCCTTGATATCGGCGTGAATATTGAAATCAAGTACCCTACCGTTTACGAAATGTCAAATTACTGGTTTTCTAACATACCCGATATTAATACATATGTCGATACGATATTACAATCGGTATATGATCAAGCACAAGCAACTCATGGAAACGGCATCGGCACCTCCTCTAATCACACTTATCATATACCACCAGTTAAACGTTCCGTGATATTTTCGTCATTTAACCCTGCGATATGTTCAGCAATAAATTGGAAACAGCCAAATTGTGAGTTTAAGAATCCAAATTGATTATGTTTCTATCTATATTCACAATATTCATTTTATTATTATGACGAAAAATATTCTACACAATGTAGATGCGGTCTTTTTCAACACCTATTGCGGATTTGAAAGTGGCGCAACTAATCGAGGTAAAAAACGAAAGGCACGTAGCGAACACAATGTAGACGAAGATACTACATATGAAGAGGTTATAATTCGAGATAAACGATGCACTTCAATCAAGGAAGCAATCAAATTCGCAAAGAGTAACAATTTATTGGGCATAATCTGCGAAGCAACATTACTGGTATGTAATCATTTTATTTTCTTGCCCCTCAGTATTATAAATTAAGTTATTTTTCTCTACTAGATACAAGTACCCACCTTAATAACAAACGTAAAGAAGGCTGGATTAATGCTAATTACCTTTGGTAGCGCAAATAATGATTCTTGTAACATGCGATTACAAGAGCGGTATGGTGTAGATGCAATTATGATTGATGGCGTGATAAAGTATGATAATCGACAGAACGTTTTTTAAAAAACTAATTTATTTCAAAGACAATTTCATTTTTTATTAATTCCCTAATTCCCTCGTTATCTATCTATTATGCTATGCTAAGAGTATGTATTCGCTTCTTTATTAATTAACATTTAAAACATTTCATAAACCCCCTAAGTCACCATCTACATAAGCCAAACCAACGGAAAAAATTAGGCCGATTTTTTTCAAAATATGTTCTTTTAATAACTAGTTATTAACTCTTTAAAGCATGCATATAGTCGGTGTGTAAAATTCTTCGTTTCCTTTTTATTCGCTCGTTTTTTTTTCGAACTCGCAAAATTCGTGTAGTTTTGGTAAACAAAAAGACAAGAAATTAAAAATATCCATACTTATAAATAAGAATACTGCCTATTTTTGGAACACATTACATGATGTATAATCTTGATTTAGTTAGCAAACATATTAGACCCTTATCCCAATCATGCATCACTTCGTCATCATCATGTGGCAAAAAAGGTTAAGGGCTCAGGAGGAAATGGCCGAGCATCATCACCATTATTATTTAACCAGCTATTATTCCATTATTCCATTGATCAATTATTTTCACATTTACACTTATTTCATATTTACGCACAAGTAATCAAATAAACAAAATAAACACAATTTTATATTCAGCATGGAATCAGAAACTCCAATTCTTCAACCAACAAAGGTTTTATCTTCTCGCTCAGTTGCTTTATACACATTAATAGTGGGTGGAGTAATAATAGGAAGTCGTTACCACCCAAAGTTGCAATTCATAGTACGCGCGTTTCTTAGTCTAGTTTGTCTTCTATTTTTTTCGGCTTATGGAAGTATTCTCGCGGTCATATTTACAATTCTAGGTCGTCGAGATGAAATAAATTGGGCCACGGCGCGTTCTTACGTAGCAGTAGCTGCCCCATTGGTTGGAATCACATTCAAAGTAGAAAATGAACATTACATGGACAATCGTCCCGTCATTTTTGTCTGTAACCATCAAGCGGCTATAGACATGATGATACTGGGAAGAATCTTCCCAAAGTCTTGTGTAGTTGTTGGAAAAAGCGAATTGAAATACGTACCATTATTGGGTTCTTTCATGCATTTAAGTGGCGCGATCTTTCTCGATCGAGCGAATCATGGGAACGCCGTGAAAACATTCTCGGAGGCAGTAAAAGATATCAAGAAACGAAATGTCAGCGTTTGGATTTTTCCTGAGGGTACGCGTGGACATTTGCAAGAAGCGAATCTTTTGCCATTTAAAAAAGGGGCTTTTCATTTAGCCGTGCAAGCGCAAATTCCTATTGTTCCGGTTGTGGTCTCTAATTACAGTGACATATATGATTCAAAACGGAAAATATTTAGAGGCGGAGAATTAAAAATTAAAGTTTTGCCCCCAATTCCGACAGCTGGCCTCGATCAAGAGAACCGAGAACATATTGACGAGCTCACAACTAGAACACGACAAATTATGTTGGATACCTTGAAAAGTATTACATCCTCACCACTTGAAAATGGTCATACGAAAGAAAAATAATTGAAAGAAATATTAATTGCGTTTGGAGATACATGTTAATGTATGGACTAATCGCGTTCTGGCAACGACGATGTAAAGAACAGTGACATATATATATATATATATATATATATATATATATATATATAAATAGATTTAAGCATTAATGACCTTTTATTGTATTGTTATATTTACATTAATAATCTTAATATTTTAATATATTACTTCGTACAATAAAAAACCCGTCACTATTTAAGTTTTGAATTGGCACATTTGAATTGGCACAAATCTTGATATAAGCTTAAATAAAAGCAATACAAACTATCTCTGTGATATAATAGATAAAAACACATCTAGAATTTCAGCTTTCTTGAGATATGATCCTGTTTCCTATTTTATAATATAATATATTGATATTAATTTTTGAGTTTTGTCATCTTCTCTTATAGATTATTAATATCTGTCATTCTTTTAATTAAATCTTCATTTTATAATTATTATTAATTATAATATTTAATTCTTGATTTATTTAAAATAATAATATTGAAAATATTTATTAATTTTATAATAATATCATGCATTACAAAAAAAACCAGATATTTTAATTTTCTTCATAAATATTTATTTAAATAACATAAAAATTTAAATATATATACTTGAGAGCATGAAAAATAACTTTCTTTAAGACTACTTAAATACTTATTTTATTAAAATTTTTTATAATTTATATTTTTATATTAAAATTTTTAATAATAAAAAATACTTTAAAAATTATTATAATTAAATTTGATTATTATTTTGTAAATTAATTTAAATAAACTTATTTATTAGATTATTAAGCATATATATTTAAAATTTTATATAATTTAAATAAATATTCATTAAATAAAAAATAAAAAAAGATTTTAAATTTTATAATTATTTTTTTAAAAAAAATTTTAATAAAAAATATTAATTATAAAAAATTTTATTAAAATAAGCTATTAAATATTTTTAAATAAACTTATTTATAAGATTATTAAGTATATATATTTAAAATTTAAATATAAGTAAAAATAATATTATTTATTACAGATTATAATTATTTTTATATTTAATAAATAATTTTATTAATTATTTAAAATATAATTATTAAATAAAAATTATTAAAAATATTTTATAAAATTTTTATATAAATAATTATTTAATATAAATAATAATATTATTTTCAAAAATTTATTTAAAATTATTTAAAATTAGTAAATAAATAACTTTATTTAATTACTTAAAATATAATTTATAATTAAATAAAAATATTAATTTTTTTAAAAATATTTTTTATTTATTTTTAAATTTTATATTCTTATAAAATTATATTTATAATAATTATAAAAAATTTTATAATCTAATATTATTACTAATAATAATAAATATAAATTATATATTATAAAAATATAATATAAAATAAAAACAAAAAAGAATAATTATTTTAATTTTATTATTATTATTATTATAAAATTATTTATTAATTATTATAAATAAAATAAAATATGAAGTGAATAGTTTAATTTATAAAACTTATAATTTTTATTATTTAAAAAAATATTCAAATCTAAGATAAAAATACAAAATAAAAAGAATATATTTATAGAAAAAATTGAATATAAAATATAAATAAATTAATAATAATAATAATAATATATATATATATAGTAGTAATTAAAAATAATATAACACTTAAATTTTTTACTAATTATGATTAGTAAAATACATAATTTTCCTTACATATAAAAGTTTTTAATTTTACTAATAAGTATTTTTTATTTTTAGCTTAATATAATAATTTTGATTGGATTATCTCTCTTTTAGATTCTTTTAGTTTAGATCTTCATTTTGCATTATTTATATTACAGATTAGTTTTATATTATATTTTTAAGAAAATCAATTTCATTTTGAATATATAGATTATCATTATATATTTAATATATTTAGATTTAACATATTATTACTCAGATAATCATCATATATATCATAATTATTAATTTAGATTATTAATATTTTTAATTAGATATTTCTTTTTATAATTCTTTATATTTTTACTTATTCTTCT